AGCACCTGAAGTTTGTGAGGTAACCTGCCCAGTAGTCCTCTTACTGGTAAATAACCAAGCCGGATTCAAGCAGCCGATACCCTCAGAGCTCAGCTCTAGAAGACCATCGAGTACGATGACATCATCAACTGCTCTGGGACGGATGGCTGAGCGAAGGTCTGGAGAACTAGGGGCAGGTCAGACAGCAGTTATGGGCTGGGTGGCCTGTGGCCCTGGTCCCTGGGAGGCTGAGGCCACACGATGGGCGTTGATCACAGCAAGTCAGCTGGTGGCCGCCGTCTGGACTGTCAGGGTTGAAGGTCATCTCTAGCCAAACTATTGTCTGCAAGCCTTGCAGGAAGCTGTTTGAAAGGGTCATTGAGAAACGAACTTTCTAAATCAAGCTGGAGCAGTATTTTGATTTCCTTTCATGCGATGCCACATTTCAACGCATTAGACAAGTCTGTTCTGAAATCCTGGAAAACAAGTCCCAGTGACTTGATTTCAGGAACACAAAAGGTCCTACACTCACAGCAAAAAATCATAAGCAGTTGACAAGCATCCTTCTCACTGCTCGTAGAACCTAAGTATTGTATGGCATAAAACACACACACACACACACACACACACACACACAAACGCTTTTTCAGAAAAATCTCACATGCTTTGATACTTCTTAGATAAACTTCTCATGATTCTAATAATTTGCCAGATGTCCTTGGGTTCCTCCCCAACCCACAACCTTAACTTAAGGCTGTGGCCCAGTCCTGTAACCCCAGCACTGGGGAGGCAGAGGCAGGATGGTCACTGTACATCTGAGGACAGCCTGGTCTACAAAGTAGTTCCAGGCCAGCTAATGTTCCACAGTAAAAACCTTTACCCCAGAAAACCAAGCCAGCCAGGGGTGTGGGCAGGGAGAGTAGTTAAGAAGTCAAAACAGGAACTCTTGAAGTCTCTCCATCAAGGTTACCAGCGTTCACAACTTCTCTCTCACAGTGGTTCCCAACTTTCCTAAGGCTGTGACCTTTTAATACAGTTCCTCATGTTACAGTGACCGCAAACCATAAAGTTATTTCTTTGCTACTTCATAACTGCAATTTTGCTACTGCTGCGAATAGTGATATAAATATGTGACACACAGGATATCGGATATACAACCCCAAAGGGGTCGCAACCCACAGGCTGAGGACCACTGTTCTACCAGCATGCTAGTTTTGATGCTAAACAGGACAGGTAAGTCACAAGAGCCCCAAAACCAGCAAGGAGCACTGGGAAAGTGGAGAAAATAAAGTCAGGGTAAAAAGACAAAACGTCCCCTTAGGATAATGTGGCAGAAATCGGTCTGACAAGCAAGGCTCTATAGTGTAAATTGGAAGGCACCATGGAGAACAAGACCAGAGGTGAGGAAGGGGACCCCACCTCTAGGAGGGTTTTCTGCCAGGGGAGCTACCGTGTGGCTGGAAGCTGCCCCAACTCTGGATTCTGCAGACAGCAGGAAAATCTCAGCTAAAATGCTAAGATCAGGATAACAAGGGGTAACAGTAAAGGACAGAGCATCGGAATCTCATTTTCTGAGACCTCCAAACACTGCCAATCTTATGTTAGGTCTTACACAACTCCAGCCTTTACTGTTCAGATCTAACCAGTTCCTGTGGAGGAAACACCTTACTGAATCACTACTACCTTCAGAGATGGAGCCTTACACAAGCCGCTACTATTAGGACTGAAGTCACAGGTTCTGACATGGTGAAGTCTCAGGAATTCAGTGGCTGTGAACTCCAAAGGTAGGCTTCCATTTGAAGTCAGTGGGAAAACAGTGTAAGAGGTTTGAGGCTTGCAAGCTGTACTTCTGGGACCTCTCTTGCTGGCTCCAGCTGTTAGCAGCAGGACAAGTAAGTTATGAATGAGCTTTGAAGAGGCTGGGGACGTGGTTCAGTGGGTAAGAGTGCTTTGCTTTGCCAGCATGAAGACCTGAGTTCAAATTCCAGGATTGACAAAAAAAAGTCAGGCATGGCTGCACATGTCTGTAACCCTAACCCTGCATCAAAGACAGGCAGATCCCAGGAGCTTTGTGGACAACTGGCCAGTCTAGCAGAAATAGTGAAGTTCTGGTTCAGTGAGAGCCTGTCCCAAGGCAATAAGGCAGACAGCGATGGAGAGACTCCTCCCCCATTCTGCTCTGCCTTCTAAACTGGCATACCCATGTGCATGTCGCACACAATGGGGGATTTACAAATAGATGGGTCTGCTCCTTTTGAGTTGCCCCTCCCCACATACCTCCCAAAGGAACTTCATTGGATACAAAAGCAAGATTTTTGCCCTCTTATACTTTTCTGACTATCACAGGGTAGTCAATAATCACTGTGAAGATAGTAAATGATCCTCTCCTGAACAGTTCAGGGACCTGGGGTCTCTGCACGATGTGGCTCTGATTCAATGTGTCTGAGATAAGGGTCAGAGCTCCACATTTTTAGTGATTTTCCAGAGCTACTGATGCAGGGACAATACTTTGCATAGCAAAGCTGCATGGTTTGCCAGGACCTTTTCTCGGTGGCTCTCTAGCCTTGACCAGGTGCAAAGGAATCTATCATCTGCAAGACTCTTCAGGGAACAAATCACTGAACCAGTCTTACTGAAGGGAAAAAAAGGGGACTAATTGAGGCAATATACCATGTATCACTCAAAATCTAACTGGATACTGCTGGCTGCTTCTGGGATTTTCTAAAAAACGTTTACCCAGCACACAGAACCCCCACAATCACGCGCATGATAAATGTGCAAGGACAAATATGCGGACAACCGACAGAAGAAGGAAGTGAACTGCAAGAATGTGGCCCCCCACCAGTCCCTGTGCATACTTCAGTGGTCCTCTAAAGTTTTCTGCTGGTCATCTGCCAAGATGGGACGATACAGACCGCCATCAGGCTACTGAACGGGAGGAAGGGAGGACAAGGAGAACAGCGGAGGTGGGGACAAGGGAAGCAGTATGTACAGAAGACACCTTCTGGAGACCTCTGACCCAGATGGCCTACTAAGCACCTTCACCTAGACTGCCCACTTAACTCTCTTCCAAACCTCTGTGAATCAGGGATTACAGTTTTCATTTTACAGCTGGGAACCTGAGGCGCGGAGGAGAAGCAACCCGAGATAATTCCGGAAGGAAGGAGAAGGCAGGCTTTGGAGCACAGCCATAGAAGCCTGGTTCCCAGGAGGCACAATGGCTCACTGGCTGGCAGTCAGCCACAGCAAGCCTGACACCACCGCTCTGATCCGTTTTGCAGGTTCTGGTCCCCTGAATTGGCCTGGTGATGTGAACCTCTCTCAATTGGACAGTAGTTGTGTCAAAGATATAACTGGTCTTTTGGTGCCTGTATTTTTATTATATGGACGCACTGAATGGGGAGGCTACATGTGTGGCAAGATTTTCTTTCTAGCTTTTCAAAGCCAGGAGGTAAAGCAAATGAGTACAGTGTCTACTACTACAAAGACAAAAACAGAGAAGGCCTTTGAAACAGTTTCAACATACAAAGAACCCTCATATACCTGTTTATACAGAAGGTTCAATGGTATCTATTCTACCCCATCTGCATATCTCTGATAGATAGATAGATACATACATACATACATACATACATACATACATGATACAGACAGACATAGATATGGATAGATATCCCTCCCTTTCCCTCTCTCCCATTCCTTCTTCCCTTCTTCCCCCTTCCCCTCTCCTCCATCTCTTTTTCTCTCCATTGTCTTAGGAATCTTTTCAGAATGATCGATAAGATCCACTCCTATATTCCTTCCTGTGTTTCCTAAAGACCAGGTCATTCTCTTACATGATCACTGATGAACAAGGCATCAGCTTCAGGAGAAGTTACTGTTCATTTAGTCCCTTTATCTAATCTACCATCTGCAACCAAGGCTGCCATTTGGCCCATTGATAGCTTTTGTAGTCATCACAGTATGTTTTAATAGCTGGGTATATATGAAGAATTGATATGAATAATTAAGAATTAATACGAGCAGAGTGCATGGGCATCCAGAGAGTCATTGGCTTCAGTTACTCAGTTGCCTCACATATTGCCTTTCTAAGATCCAGTGGAAGCACTGTCCCTGCTTCAACTATCATGGAAAGGAGGCCAAGGGGAGACTCAGAGCTCGGGTCATTCCTTGAGCACTGCTCGGTTCTGACTTTAAAGACTTTCTCCCTTCCCATACCAAGAGACTGAGCACTAATTCAAACATTTTAAACTCCTAAAATAAATACCATTTGAATGTTTATCTCTCTAAACACTCACTTTTATGTCAACCTACAGATCTCAATCCACACCCGCAGCTACAGTTGTAGAAGACTCCTGAGCTAGGCCAGGGGAGTGTCCTGCATGAGTCCCACGACGGCGTTTTAGGGCCTGACCTCTGCAGCATGGGCCTAGCCTGCATTGCTGAACCCATTCCCCCTCACACCTAGAGCCCGAACCCACAGCAAAAGCTGTCAGTTCCAGGGCTGGCTCGAACAGGAAAGGCAGAAAGGCACCAATATCACCACCCAGGGGAGCGGGTGATTTCCCAGGCTTGAGCAACAGCAAAAAAAAGATGCACCATCACAACAATGTCTGTTCAACAGTGAAGTCGCTGTTTCGGAAAGGGAACTATGGGGCTCAGATCCTCACACTTCCACTGGGTTCGTTTGCCTTGAACTGGTTACTGAGTGTGGCCGGACCTCAATCCCTTCACCCACACGCTCAGACAATCAAACATGGAGCAGAGAGGGGTGGATAGCAAGCTTGAAGGCTTGCACGTGGGAGGTCTCGTTCTTGTTTCTGCTGCTTAGAAGCAGAGTCTGGAGGGAACAGGGCAAGTTTAGGTCTGGAAGTGTGAACAAGCATGGCTGGAGGCTTTGACTGAGGGTCTGCAAGGCTCACTGTGGGAAGTACAAAGAAGCAGGCCCCTTCCGCAGTGAGCGCTGCCTCTGGCCGGGGATCAGGATTCTGCTGGTGTGGCAGGAAGAGCAAAATATTTACCTTTTCCAGGGCCTCTTTGTCAAGCAGCTCCTGAACAGCTAGAAGCTTGATGCTGAAAGACAAAAACGAAAGCAGCACATGAAGCAAGTCACTCCACGTCACCACGCATCACCCCACAGGGCACAGCAGTGAGGATGGGAACTCTCAGCCCATCTTTCTACGTCACATCCTACCTTAAGGTGCCTTCTTTGTTGTTTCTTTCTTTAATTCAAAATGACTGTTCCAAATACACTGAAAGTGTTTCCAAACTCTAAAAGTAACTTTACCACAAGGTTATGCACTTCTATTTTCAGTAGAAGTTGAAAGTCAGCCTTTGAAAAAAATTTGCACACCAGTGTTCACACTATTCCTCATAACCCAAAGATGGAAACAACCCAAATATAAATCAGCAGACTAAATGAACAAATGTAAACTGGTGTGTGTGTGTGTGTGTGTGTGTGTGTGTGTGTGTGTGTGTTTTATTCATCCTTAAAAGGAGAGGTATTCTAATACCTACAACATAGATCATAAATGTACCTTGAAGACATGCTAAGTGAAATAAGTCAGAGACAAAAGATTTAACTTACATGAGGTACCAAGAGTAGCCAAGTGGATACAGATAGAAAGAGGAGTGGTTCTTTCCTAGAACTGTGGGTGAGGGGAGTGGGGAGCTATTGCTCAAGCAGTATGGCACTTCTGTGTGGGATGAAGAGAAAGTTCTGGAGTTAGACGGTGGTGATGGCTACACAACAGTGCAAACGTGCAGGTACCACCAAAATGTGGGCTTAATGATGGTTCAATGGTAAATTTTGTCATAAACATTTACCACAAAGCAGCCTTAAAGTGAATTGTTTCATACAAAGAACTTGGGTAAGTTCTAAGGAATGTAAGAATTCAACAGTTACTCCTGTTCATATTAATCTTCTCTCACAACTCTCTCTGTGATGATGGGCAAATAGTAATCACCATACACTGCTCATCAGGCACTGATGGCGCCTCACCGTGTGCCTGAGGCACCGATGGCGACTCACTGTGTGCCCCACTGTGTGTCTGAGGCACCAATGGTGCCTCACTCTGTGCCTCACCATGTGCCTTAGGCACCGACGGCAACTCACTGTGTGCCTGAGGTACTGATGGTGCCCCACTTTGTGCCTGAGGCACCAATGGCGACTCACTGCGTGCCTGAGGCACAGATGGCACTTCACTGTGTGCCTGAGGCGCCTCACTGTATGCCTGAGGCACCAATAGTGCCTCACTGTGTACCTGAGGTTGGGAATGAGCATGATGTAGGACATGCTGCCTGCCTGTGAGGAGTTCAGGGCTGCTTGGAAGCCAAGGTCAAATCAGGATATAAAGTGAAATGTGCCAAGTGGATGCGCAGAGCTGCTAAGGGAACCCTGGCTCCACAGAGAGCATAGAGGGCTTTCTGAAGGGACCGAAATAGCCTTGCTAGGTGAGAAATTGGGATGAACGCTATCTGTAGAGCAGTGGCTCTTAACCTGTGGGTCGAGACCCCTTTGGCAAACCTCTATCTCCAAAAAAAACCTTATGATTCATAACAGTAGAAAAGTTACAGCTATGAAATAGCAACAAAAATAATTTTATGGTTGAAGTCACCACAACATGAAGAACTGCATTAAAGGGTTGCAGCATTAGGAAGGTTTAAAACTACTGCTGTAGAGGGATACCCAAAGACATCAAGAGGAGTGGGTAATAACCCAGTTTCTAGGTTAGGGCCTGAGCCTTGACCGCAACCAGTGACTGAGGTGACAGAATCCAGCGGTGGGTGTAGATTATTGGGCAATGCTTTCTTTAATAGATCTAACTGCTTCTAACACTTTTGTGAGCAGATACAGTCAAGGATGAAGGCAGAAGCATGAGAATCCAGACACAGTTTGGAGAAGAGCTGGGTGGTAATGTTCCATCCCCAAGGCTGATGTACCTGTTTACGGTCACTAGTCACTGTAGTCCGCACTTCACAGGCAGCAGAAGAGAACCCTGCTTGCACACACAGCTGCTGACAGGGATAACGCCACTGAAGGCTCACCAGCTCTTAAAAACTCCTTCACATTCTTGATACAACTAAGCAAGGGCATCCTACCAATGCAATGGCTTATCTTACTAGCAGGTCCAGGAAAGGCAATGGGAGCCTTCACGGTCTATAAGAAGCCTACCACCACCTCCATCCACAATTTGGCAAAGATGGGCACTAAAAGACTGCCTCGGGGCATTCTCTCCACCACCCACTGACTCCTCGTTTTTTGTTTCTGCTGTTTCTTAGACTTAGGGGATGCTATGTGGCTATTCCCAAACAGCTTCACTGGTCAACCAAGGCAGAGGGTTTCTACTTAAATGTTGTTGCACTCAGGATACTTAGTACTCTACTCTCTTTAAAGTATTATTTGCCGTGGGGTTTTCATTTATGTTCTCCCCATACCGAAGCACTTTTAGGCCAAGGGCTTAGATGTTCTTGCCCATAGCTACACTTGTAATGTCTACAACTGGCATGTGTAAAACATTCAAGGAGCATTTGCTAACTTCATGGGCCAAGAGGCCTGACGGCCATGTTACTTTGAAGTCTTCTACATTCCAGTGTGAATGAGTCAAATGCCAAGGCATGCCTCGGTTTCTCCGTCTGAGAAAACAAAGGAGGCGATGGGACAAATTTACCCTGGGCAAAAGCTACTAAACACGGTTGTATAACTGACTGTTGCTATGAAACAGACCCTGTGGCAGCTCAAAGCCATTTGTCCCTCCTCAGCACATTCTCAGTACCGAAGCGAAGATTCTAGGCTAGCAATGTGGGCAGCAATGGACGCGCTAAGTTAGGACTATCCAGTCATAGCTCGAGTTACAGAAGCTTAAACTGCCTCTGAAATAACTACTGGAATACAGTTACTGTGGAGGGACGTGGTAAACAGCCTCCTGTTCCTGCGTGTTTGTGATCACGGGGTCTGATTGAGTGTCAAATATCAGAAGTCAGCAGGTGGAAGCTGCTCACCTTTTTCTCCCCATCCACAAAGATACCACATTCAACCTACTGAGGAGCACCAAGGGAAATCTCTGGAAGAAAAATGACATTAAAAAAAAAACCTCCACCCACTCCAGGCTACTATATAGAACAGGTCTGGCATTGGCATGGCTCCTCTCCCCTGTCCCCTTTCACCTCTTTCCATGGGGTTTCCCTCCATTGAACTTTAATTGAACTTCAAAATCCTTTTCTGTACCCTAGCAAGCCATGGGCAATCTATCAAACCCACTTAACATCTACTCTGAAACCAATACTAGCATTAGTATCATTGGGAAAGGGCAGAAAGAAACAAGACATGCTCACACTTAAAACCCAACCCAAGATGGAAGGGCCCCAGGGGCAGTGAGTGATGATGATGAGACATTCAATCTAGAGACAGCCTGCGTTTCAGATCAGGAGCAGGGCAAGTGTGCAGCTGCCTACCCCAGAGGTTGCTGCATGGAACCCTTCAGAAAGCTGTGGCTCTTACTCCTGAGACCTACAGGTACTGAAGGGACCCTTAGATGTCCCTTTAGGTGACTAAACCACTTTTAAATCTAATGTTGGGCGCTCAAGTCTCAGATATTTTTATCAGTAGGGATGATATCCAATCTTCTAACTCAACCCGGCACACTCTGGGAAGAGATTTCACACACATTTAGGGGCAGCAAAGCTTGTTACCAAATCTTCCATCTCACTTCTTATTCGGGAAGATCATTTTCTGTCATGTCGTTTTCAGTTCTGCCCCTTCTCTATCCCACCTTCTTTCTGCTACTTTTGCAAATAAATACTGCAGATTTCCTGCAGTAGAAATTGCATCATGCTTGGGGTCGGGAGAGCACATGTGAGCACGTATTTGGCCCTACCCTCAAGAGCTGAAAGGGACGAAGAAAGACGCTGCTTAGGTACATGCTCAGAGGCAGGAGTGTGGATTATTTAGACTCTCTCCCAGGCTCCAAACTGGAACCAGGCCTGAGTGCATGTCTGTGCTTGGCCTGACACCTAGTCAGCATTCTCTGAGATCAGCAGAGGCCAGGCAGATGCACAGGACAAGTAGCCTGTCCCTTGTCTGCACCCCACTTAGGGAAGAGAGGGAAAGCACAGAAAATCAGCTAGCAGCACTGATAGGATTAAAAAATGACAACCTCCGTCGCAAGTCCTGAAGACAAGCAACACTTACAAGCACCTAGAACACACACAGTTAACTTTTGCCACATAAGCCTCAAGGAAGTCACGTACGGGGTAGGTAGGAGAGGATGCTGTCTTTTTCAGCAGGGCAACATCTGGCACCGGAAGGTCTCTAAGAGGATTAGAAGAGGCAGTGTGGAAGAGTGCTGAGTATGCTCCCACAATGGAAAAAAAAAGTCAGAGATAAGCCGGGGGCAGCTGCAATCTGGGTGGCTTGGAGCCATAGACTGAACAGACCTCAGTCACCCAAGGGCATGAATAAGGCACTCCATAGAGCCGACAACAGTTTTGTTAAATTGTTTTGAGAATTTTATATACAAGTAGTGTATTTACATTATTTCTAATCCCCACCACCCCAACTCCTCCCAAGCCCTACTCCCTCTCAGATTCTTGACCTTTGCTTTACTTATTATTATTTTATACATTCATATACAATATATGTACACATAAACACATAATGAGTCCGCTGAGTGTTGTTCATATGTATACGTGTGTAGGGCTGACCTCTTGAGAGTGGATAATCTATCAGGGGCTCAATCTGTTAGACAGAAGACTCTCAACAGTCATTAATCTCATGTAGCTCTCATCTGAGTGGTATAGTGTGAGACTCCCCCCACCCACATTGCAATATGAATTAGTATTATCATTGTGCTGCTCTTGTCTAAGCAACCTTATTGCTGGATTCCATGGGTATAGCCATGGGATATATATAACATCTATAACAGACACTGTATCACAGCAGACACTCTGGTCCTCTGGATCTTACAGTTTTTCTGCCTCCTTTTCTACAACGTTCCCTGAGCCTCAAGTGTAAAGGCTGTACAGGGGCTACAACACATTGTTGTCTAGAGACAGGCATACATTCAGGGAGATTA